TTCCCCATCCCTGGAGGTTTTCAAGCTGAGACTGAATGTGGCACTTAGTGCCATGGTCCAGTAACCTTGGTAGGGTTGGACTTGATGATCTTGGAGGTCTCTTCCAACCTGGCTGATTCTATGATTCTATCTGTTGTAAGTGCCCCAAACCTTGGAAATTCAGTATAGACAGAGTGCATTAATGTTGGCAATTCTCTGAGCATGTGAGGCTAAAATACTAATAAAGTAATAGCACGAAATAATAATCAGAGTTGGAAAGGACTTCTGAAGATCATCCAGTCCAACTCCTGCCCTGCACAGACATCCCTGACAATCACACCCTGTGCCTGAGAGCATTGGCCAAACACCTCTGGAGCTCTGTCAGCCTTGGGGCTGTGCCCAAACACCTCTGGGGGAAGATAATAATGTAGCAGCGATGAAGTCGGTGCAAACAGAGTTGCTATGTTGGCTGACAGCGTGTGGAGAGGTGTCTGTGCTGCCTTTCCTGTTGGTTCCTAATGAACTTTTAATTAGTGGAGCACTGCAGTGGTGCCGCTGGGCCAGCAGAGGGTGCGGTGACACCGAGCATTGGCTTCGCGTTGCCATCCCAAATTTCCTCTTTTCCCCTGGCCATAAATCTCTGTGCACTGTGACAGCAGTACTTTATCTTCTGGGGACTTTTTGCCTGTCTACCATTGCCTGAAGTTCTCCATTTTCTGCTATAAGCATAAAACAACTGATTGAAAGTGCATTTAACTTCCCACAGCTTACTCATTTTTGTGGTTTTCTTCCAAAAACACCTGCTTGGAATTGCTAGTTTCCTGGCCATAAATCTCTGTGCACTGTGACAGCAGTACTTTATCTTCTGGGGACTTTTTGCCTGTCTACCATTGCCTGAAGTTCTCCATTTTCTGCTATAAGCATAAAACAACTGATTGAAAGTGCATTTAACTTCCCACAGCTTACTCATTTTTGTGGTTTTCTTCCAAAAACACCTGCTTGGAATTGCTAGTTTAAATCAGTGGATGTG